TAAGAAATCATGAGACTGCAGGATACCTGGGCTGGAACACAGCAGGGCTGAGTGGTAGGACCCCGGCCTACAGGACCAGTGAGGCGCTGGGGGCGTGGCTGGGCTGCAGAGGGCTGGCCTAGCCTTTGGAATAGCTAAGCCTGCTCCCAGCAATCAGCACCACAAATGAGGCTTTGGGGAGCTGATTCAGCACTTGTCTGGCAAATTGCAAAACCTGAGTTTGATCCCCAGCACGAAAAAACAAACAAACAAAAACAAACAAACAAACAAAAAAAAAAACACCACAACACATTCCCTAGTAAGGGGAGCAGGGACTGTCTCTGACATGAACTTAGTGGCTGGTTCTTTGACCATCTCCCCCGCCCCCCAGGGGGGGTGCAGCCTTGCCAGGCCACAGAGGAAGACAATGCAGCCAGTCCTGATGAGACCTGACCTCCCCTATCAGTGGACTTGGGGAGGGACATAGGAGGAGAAGAGGGAGGAGAGAGAGAGTGGGAGGAGATGAGGGAGGGGGCCACAGCTGGGATACAAAGTGAATAAATTGTAATAAATAATTGATAAAAAGTTTAGAAAGCACACATTCAAGGTGGCACACACCTTTAAACCCAGCACTCTGCAGGCAGAGACAGGCAGATCTCTGTGAGTTCCAGCCTCTCAACATAGCAAGTTCCAGAGCAGTCAGTACTACACAGAGAGACCTTGACTCCAAAAAAAAAAAAAAAATCTAATACATTCGTCTACATATAATGGAGGCCTGGTGTGCTGGCGATCCCCAACAGTCTGGCTACATAGCCAGATCCTTCTAAAAAGAACCGAGGGCTGAGCAGCTGGAGCGCTGACTCCGAGGGCTGAGGGCCTCTCACACAGGCACGAGGATCTGAGTCCAGAGCCTCCCAGCTCACGTCAGTGCCGGCTGTGCTGGCACAGGCCTGTAATCTCAGGGATGGGGAGACAGACACAGGGCATCTCCGGAGCTCTCTGGCTGCCAGCCTTGTGGATCTGGTGAGCTCCGGGTTCAGTGAAAAGAGAATGCGCTAGCTGAGCCGGCGGGCCTGGGGTGTGGCTTGGTGGGCCCAGTGTGTACTTACCTTCAGCACTGGATAATCACAGTGCTTAGGAGGTGGAGGCACAAGGATAGAGAGTTCCAGGTCTGCCTTCACTACCGAGCAAGTCTGAGGCCAGCGTCGGCTAGAAACCCTGTCTCAAAAGTAAATAATTCTCTGAACAACTGGAAAAAAAAATGAAGGGGGTGGGGATTCAGGAGACAGGATCTCTGGCTTCCGCACATAAGCAGACACTCGCACACAGGATAAACAAGAAGATAAACAACCAGGCTGAGCCTGCTCGGTGACCTAGGTTTCTCTGGAATGTATCAGCCCTGAGTTGCGTTGTTCAGCACTGAAGACCCACTCTAACTGGGGCCCCGGCAAGCCGAGATGGCTCAGTGGCTAAGGACGCCTTACTGTCCAAGCCTGGATCCCAGGAGCCACATGGTAGAAAGAGGAGAACTGACTCCCGAAGTCTGCCTTCTGACCACTGCACAGGCTGGGACACAGGCGCACACACAGACAACACAAGGAAAGAAATAAGTTAAAACTCTTTAAATTAAAAATACTTTTGTTTTTGCCCTTCCTTCCCTTCCTTCCCTTCCTTCCTTCCTTCCTTCCTTCCTTCCTTCCTTCCTTCCTTCCTCCCTCCCTCCCTCCCTCCCTCCCTTCCTTCCTTCCTTCCTTCCTTTCTTTCTTTCTCTTTCTCTCTTTTTCTTTCTTTCATGACAAGGTTTCTCTGTGTACCCTGGCAGTCCTGGAACTCACTCTGTAGACCAGGCTGGCCTCAGACTCAGAGATTCATCTGCTTCTGCTTCCAGAGTGCTGGGATTAAAGGTGTGTGCCACCATGCCAGGCTAAAAAGTACATTTTAATAACGGAATGGCCTAGTGATGTTATAGGCCTCACATGACCTTTCTGAGGATTCCAGACACCTGAATGGTTTATACATCAGCATGACCATGTGGAAACAGTTTTATACTGAGTATTGTAGGAAATAAAGGCGAAAGCACCTCTGAGTGTTCATGTAGGCACAATGCCACTTCAACTTCTTTCCTTCTTTCCTTCTTTCTTTCTTTCTTTCTTCCTTCTTTCCTTCTTTCTTTCTTTCTTTCTTTCTTTCTTCCTTCTTTCCTTCCTTCCTTCCTTCTTTCTTTCTTTCCTTCATTCTTTCTTTCTTCCTTTTCTAAGACAGAGATCTGGTTGTCCTGGACTCACTCTGTAGACCAGGCTGACCTGGAACTCAGAGATCCGCCTGCCCCTGCCTCCCGAGTGCTGGGATCACAGGTGTGTGCCACCACACCTGGCTTGTCACTTCAATTTCTAATCTTTAACGTTTTATTTCTTTATTGCAGAGGTTAGTTGTCTCTTTTCACCAGGAGGGTTCCAGGGATTGTACTGAGGTGGCCAGGTCTGGTGACTTCCGTGTTTTGTTTAGGAGACATGTATGGCCCAGGCTGGTCTCGAGTTCGCTATGTAGCCCAGCCTGACCTGGAACTCGCTGTGTGGCCCAGGCTGACCTGGAGTTCTTGATCCCCCTGTTTCAGCCTTCAAGGACTGGCAAGGGCTGACATTTCCAAGGTCGTCCACTTAGCTTTGCAACAGAAGGTGGTGGCTTTGCGCCTCCCTCCTCAGTTTCCCTTCCTGCAGTGCGGCCTCTTGATGGCATCTTCCTCAGAGAGGAGGTTCTGTGGATCCTGAGGCGTTCTGCGAAGCCCGTGGCACCAAGGAATCGCTCAGCAAACAGTGAGGACCATTGCAGTCGTGTCATCGACAGCTGCCCTCGGCAAGCCTGTCTCCCCACTGTTCCCAGGAGCACTTTTGCCCCAAGCACCCCGGAAACTGGACTCACAAAAACTCCCCCCTCAACCAGGACTCTCACCAAGCCTCATAACAGTTCTTTTTGATTTCCATTTTAAGACGTGTTACTTACTTGTTTGTGTGTGGGCAGACACACCATGGTGTGTTGGTGAGCACCGAGCAGATGTGGAGGTCAGAGGAGGACTTGCAAGGTCAGGCCTCTCCTCCCGCCGCCTGACACCCAGGATCACACTCAGGTCACCAGGCTTGGCAGCATCTCGCTGGCCCCGAACGCCGCCTTCTGCCTCTAACCTCCTGAAGTGGCAATAATGTCTCTAAGCTTGACTAGCTGTCGCCTGTAGCAATAAGAAGTTCTTTTTGTCTTCCTGAAGAACATTCCATGGTACGGACAGACCCTGGCTCAACATTCGCTCCTGGACACACAATTGACCATTTCAAGTCATTGGTAATAATGAATAAAGCAGCTATTTCTACTGTGGTTACATTCATGGACAGTGGTTTCCTGGCAGGGCGCAGGGCTGTGGGTAGCTGGGGGACAATTTTATTAGAGTTCAAGAGAAAAGCAATGAGAGGGACACACTGAAGTCCAAACAGCCCCTGGGAAAGGGGGAGTGCAAGAGGAAGGGAGAAAATCATGCCATGGGACTTAGGGTCCAAGAAAGCAGGAAGGTCTGGCCGGCGGGATAGCTAGTGAAGGTGCCTGCCCCCAAGCCTGGCGACCTGAGTTCAATCCCCAGCACCCACACCATGGAAGGGGAGAACCAACTCCCGCAAGTTGTCCTCTGACCTCCACACACGTGCTGTGGCACATGGTACACGCATGCCCACCCCACCCACCCACCCAAATAATTAAACACATACAACAAGGGAACAAACGGGTTCCACATTGGTGGTCTGCAGGCGTCTGCATGGGGCTTGGAGAGGCAGAGGGGGTCTTCAGAGAAAATAGTGAGAAAGCCCAGCGGGTCAGGGGGAACGTGCTTAGGGTTTTGCTCACTGTACAATGATATAAAAAAACTTGTGTCCTGATTTGCTTCCTATTGCAACGGTAAAGAGCATGACCACAGGGAATTTGGGGGAAAAGAGTTTATTTCATATTACAACTCTCTAGTCACAGTTCATCATGGAGGAAAGTCAGGGTAGGAATTGATGGCAGGAACTTAGAGGGAGGAGTTGAAGCAGGAGAAATGCTGCTTTCTGGCTGTGGTTGTTTGAATAAAATGGCCCCCATAGGCCTATAGGGGGGTAGTACT